GGACGAGGAGCAGGTGGGGGAGGGTTGGAGCCTGATTGGAAGACTGCGACAGGGATTCAGAACAGTTGCTCTTAAGGGTGGGGAGACCCACTGACACACACACAGAGCCACAGATTCTCGTGTACACACACCGCAGCTCATGGAGTCATGCACACACATGGATACCTGCATGCACAGTTACATACACACACTCGTGTGTACAGTTACTCACAGGCACTCACAGTCCTTCAGGCACCCAGAGTCATTCACAGAAACACGCACACAGAGAAGAGACATGGTCACAGACATTTGTACACACACACTCAGACACCCACATAAACATGGATACACGCAGTGTCAGACCTGAGTGTCCTCATAGGTACACACTGAGATCCAGATTCTGGCACGGACATGCCCAGCATCACGTTCTAGCTCCACAGACTTAATGCACACCCACAGGGGCACATGTGAGCGTGAGAATAAAAATGTCAGTACTTGCACACTCACACACAGGCACACGTATCACACATGTACTTACACAGACATGGGTGTGAAGGAACACACAAACACCGCCCCCCAGCACTGCTCCTCCCCGGCTCCATACCCATGCCACCCGAAGCAGGAGGGATTAAGATGAGACAGAAGCCTGCCCTCCCCACCCAGCAGGACTCTAGCAGTGTCCCTCCCTGCTGGACTCCCCCACCAAGCTCTCAGCTTGGAAACTCCCTGGATTTCCCAGAGGGTCAGCCAACCAGAACAGGCTCAGACCTCCCAGCCCAGTGCCCCCACCGCATGCTCTCCAAAGCTCTGGCCAGTGCTCCTGCATCACCCACAGCCAAGGAGCTGCCTGCTCTCCCCCGGAAATCCTGTCCCAGACCTCTCCAACCCTTCTCTGACATGGAGTGCTCAGGCCTCGGGGCCTCAGGGCAGCTGTGCTTGGGCCCCGCTCCTCTGAAGATGCTCTTACGTGTCTCCTGTGCCAATGGAGTGAAACCTGGAAGGCCTGGGAACAGTCCCAGTCTTGGGAACCCACTTTGGGGAGACAAGTCCAACTCATATGATCAGAGGTGAACAAAAGATGGCCAGGCCTGATGTGGGGTACCACAAGGAGGGCTCCCAAAGCTGGGAACATGTTCTTCCCTCTCCCTGGGTTCACCCGAGTCTTGAAACATGGCAGATATTGGCTCCAGGGGTTTCCATCCCCAGTTAGGGCTGCTACTGGTTCAAAACAGCCCAGCCCTAGGCTCAACAGCAGACAGTGAACAGACCTCCAGTCTCCAGAGAGATAGAGCTTCCCCTGGCCCCAGTCTAACACCCAGCTAGAGCCCAGCTCAGCTATATCTGCAAGCCCAATGTTCACCCCAAGATTGAATGCTGGAATGTGTGGGACCAAACCTCCAGATAAAAGTCCTTTCCAAGGGGTGCAGAGGCAACCCTGCAGCAGCTAGACTTGAAGCTAGACACCAGGACAAACTTTCTGGGTCTAGGAGAGAACTCTGAAGGGTTGGTGTGATGAGCGAAGGAGAGGCTGGTCCCTTCTGGAGGCAGAGAATGAGAAGAAAGACCTCATAAATCCCCTGTCAGTCCAATGTCTCTGGAATTCCCAAGGCTCCTGCTTCAACGCCGGGACTCAATGTAATGAGGAAGTAGTACTTCCCAAAGGAAAGAGGGAGCCAGAGCCTGCACCCATTCCTGGGGCAGAGGTGGGTTCTGCCTCAGAAGAGAAGTTCATCTCACTCAACAGAGGCAGAGTCCCACTGTGGGAAGGTGAAAACCAGTCTCTCCTGTCATTCCAGCAGACCCTTGGCCCCTGAAATAATTTGCATTTTCTTTGTTTTTAATGAAGTTGAAAATATTTTCATTTGTTTATTGGCCATTTGTATTTTATCTGTGAATTACTTATTCCCATCCTTTGCCTATTTTTCTATCATAATTTTTTTCTTATTTATTTAGAGGAGCTCTTTATATATGTGCATATTAGTCCTTTGTTAAATATGCTGCAACACTTTCTTACAGGCTCTTTTTTTGTCTTTTATCTTTGTTTATGGTATATTTCACCCTAATGACATCTACATTTTTAGTTAGTCAAATTTGTCAACATAGTTCTTTCATGGCTTCTGGATTTGATTTCATGCTTTAATAATGCCTAATGCATTCTCTGCGATTATAAAAATATCTCCTACACTTCCTCTATTTATTTGTACCATTTTCATTTTACATTAGATCTTTAAGCCATCTGGATTTTTTAATGTATAGTGTGAAGTAGGATTTAAATTCATTTCTTTCATATGGAAAGCCCATTATCCCAAGTCCATTACTGAATTTTTTACACTTTCCTGAAAGTTTATGACATCTTATTATCATATACCCAGTTCTCACAAATAACCCCAGTTTGTTCTGGACTCTGTTATCTCCATTATTTTATTTGTTGATTTGCACCAAAACCACACTGTTTTAACTGCAGATGCCTTACTGAACATTTTGAAATCTGGTAGGGCAATTTCCTTCTATTGTTCTTCTTTTTCAAAAAGTTCTAAGCTATTCTCATGTATTTACTCTTACCTAAACTTTAGAATCAACTTTTCAAGTTTGGGCAGTGGGAATTAGGCATTAGGTTTGAATTACATTCAGTTTATAGATTATTTAGGGCAGAAGTGACATCTTTACAATATAATACTGAGCTTTCCAATTCAAGAATATAATGTGCCTTTACAATTTTTCAGGCCTTATTTTATGTCTGTCAGTCAAGTTCTGTTGTTTTCCTCATGTAGATTTTATGCATTTTTTATAAGTTTATTTCTGGATATTTTGTAATATTGTTGGTATTGTGAAGTGGATCTTTTGTTAACTTATAGTTTCCAATTAGTTGTTTTAATCGTATAGAAATTGTTTTGATTTTTCTATACTTAACACATGTTTTGCTACCTTACTAAATTTTCTCATAAATGATGTGATTGTTTACTTAGGAAACTGAAGAGAATCAACTGGAAAACCATTAAAACTAATAATTCTTGAAGATCTTGCCTCTTTTCTTCTCGTATTATGTCCCTTATTTCTTTTTCTTATCTTATTGCATTGGTTGGGGCCTTCAGAAAAAAAGTTGATTAATAGCAATGATAGCAGCCTCCACTTTACAACTTGCATAATTCTCTGTGCCTAGAAATGCATGTGAAATAACAATTAGCCCTGTATATGTCAGATAGGAGCAATTAGCAAACACACCAGAAGGTCCTGACAGCTGCCCTTTCATTGTGAAACTCCACTGATTATTAAGTTAAGGGAGCAGGCTTTGATTGCTAGTGTGAACCCCAGAGAAATGTATTGAGTTAGGGCCCCTGTTCTAGCTCCAGAACATAATTCCTATACATAAGTGGGCAAGCCAGCACATTCTCATTTCCCACCCAGAACAACTGAGTTTTGTGAAAAGAAAGGGGGCACATGTTTATTGAGCATCTACTATATACTAGGGATTGTGCTAGGAACTTTAAACACAATCTTATTTAATCCTCACCAGCTCTATGGGTGAATATTATTCCCTCATTAACAAATAAGAAAACTATGAGGCTAAAGTGTTAAGTATGGAAGATGACACAACTAACCATCACTCACATATGGGTTCATTGTTATCTGCCTCAGCATCCTGTCTTCTGAAATGGATATTCCATGCCTAGACCATGAAGTCTCCAAATGTTTTAGTCTACTACATATTGGTGCCAGAGGACCACCACCATCCCTCAGCCAAGGTTGACATTGCCTCCCTCCTTGGAATGAGACAGAGTAAGTCAGGAGGAGCTGACCTGTCCACACTCTCAGGCCAAAAGCTAAATCCCAGGCCTTGCTGGGCAGCAGATCTACCACTAGGTCCCTGGAGTCTTTGCTTCAGGAAAAGATACAAGTGGGCTTAGAAGCCAGGACAAGCTGGGGAGAGGGAGGAGGGACAGGAGAAGGGGTGGGGCAAAGAAGATGAAAAAGGAAGCAATGAGAAGGAGGTGGGGGCAGAGGCTGGGGGCAGAAGCAGGGAGGGCTGCCAGGGAGCTAGGGACAGGCGCCTGGCCTGGGTTCAGGTTGGAACAGTGGGGAACAATTCCCAGGGTGCATCAGGCACTCCACTCTCAGTGTGGACTCTGAGGGGCCAGGAGGGCCACCGCCACATGGGTCTTTGTTTGCATCTTCCAGACTGTAAAGAGTGGCCGTAGGATCACAACACAGAGCCAGAGGTACTCCATCTCCACCTGCTGAGACACACATACACACATAGGGCAGGATTGCTGGCCCCAAACACAGATGTCTGCGAACACATGAGGGTGTAAACACACAGATGACACACAGGACACAGGCATAGGCCTGCATGCAGGGACACAGACCCACACACAGATATGGAGAATGACACAGATGCAGATACACACCAACCCAGGAAACAAATATACAGACACATGGAAGGAATCACAGACACATAGGCATGTGGGTGCACACACCCACACACAGAAGGAGACACCATGAAGATGTCAGAAGGACTGTGTTGCAGAAAGACAGACAGATGACAGGACCCCATGGATAGTTCCCAGCAAATTAGTGCTTGTGCCCGGCCCTTGAGCCAGGGGTCACAACCACTGCCTGTCCACATCAGGCCTTTTCCCCAGAACCCCATCGCCAGTTCCATGAACATACATGTAGTGACCCAGCCCTCCTGACACAGGTATGCATGTCCCAACAGGCCTATGCCCCACCTATAGGGACTGACATCCCTGTTCTGGGGTACAAGCAGGGGCTACAGACAACCCCCTCCTCCACAGGCCACAGGCTGTGCCCACTGGCAGAGACAGGGGGCCCAGGCTGGCCCTGGAGGAGGGAGGAGTTAGGGGGAGCCGGGGTGCGGCTAGGGCAGGCACAGGAGCTGGTACCTGTCAAACAAGAGCCAAGGAGAAAACTAGCTTCTTAGTCACCTTGCTCTTCTCCCCATTTTGGCAGCAGCCCCTCAGGGCAAGGGGAAGCTGATATCATAATTATTGGCTCACCCAGCAGCTGCCTCCCCTCACCTGATGTCAGCACAGACCTGGGACGGCCGAGCTGACAGACTGACAGACGGACGGAGCTCCTGGCCCCACAAACCCGGGCCCCCACGCCGACCTGCTTCACTGAGCAGGTAAGAGGAGACCCGTCCCAAGTCAGCCATGGAAGCCAGCAGGGCTGGGCCAGGGCATGGGGCGGGGGGGGGTGGGGGTGATTTTTTTTAACGGGCCCCAGGAGTAACTGGGAGCACCTGGGCGCTTCCCATCCTCTCATTGCAGTTCAAGGGAGACTCAGGAAGTGGGGTGAGTGCCTGGAGGCCAAGGAGGACCCCCTTCTCCTGCTCCACCCTTCATTCCTGTTGCAGGTTGTCTAACTTCAATCCTTCTTGCTGTAGCACAGCTTTTCATTCTGGTGTTCTTCAGAGTTTGTGTGTGTGTCCCTGTGTGTTGGAGAGGGTGTGCTTAGCCACCTTGTGCTGGGAGAAAATGATGTCTTGGAAGTACTAGAACCGGAAGACAGGGAGGCAGATTCCCAGCTTAGTGGCTTTTCTGGATAGGGAGGGAGAACCCAGCTCGGGGCTGGGGGGTGCCAAGCGTGTGTGTTTATCAAGGAATCACTCACCATCTCTGCACAGCTGGGCTGGGGCCTAGACACCTGGGGCCTGGGGCAAGCCTGGGTAGCAGGAAGGAGATGGTGCACCTGGTGGAGAATCAGACAGGTGGCAAACAGGTGCTATGGCCAGTACCTGATGCTGAGTTCAAGGCAGAATCCCCTGGAGGTCTAAGAGCATCTCTCTCCCTTAAGACCACTGAAGAGGCCTGGTGGGCAGACCTGGGGTAGGCAGGGAGCTCTAAGACCCTTGAGGCCTAGAATTGGTGTCTGGGGAGCGAAGGCCCTTAGGGAAATGGCTGGGACAGCAGGAAGCCTCCACCAGCTCCCACGGCTCGTCCTTAGCCCCTACCTAGTCAGGTTAGGCTCTGGCATTCCCCGTGGAGTCCCTCAGGTCCCCCTAAATAGCCAAAGAAGCAAGTTAGAGTGAGAATGGACCTAACTTGTGGGTGTGCTTGCTGCTTCTCCGCACCTACAGGTGTATGTGTGGGAGAGGTGTCGGTGTGAGCCATGTGGCCAGGTGCAGCTGGGCGGTGGGGAGGATCCAGGCAAAGAGGGTCAGTTTCTTGAGAAGTCATCTCATCCATCGCCCTATGCTGGTCACTTCCCATGCCAGACAGGGCTGCCCCTCCTCACTTTCCTGACCCCAAGGGCGGAAACTTGATTGGTTCCCTGGCTGTCATGAAGTCCTCCCAGGAGTCTGAAGTCTGCACAGCTGCAGGGGCCAGCTTGGCTGGCCCCATAGCATTCTCCTTTCCCCACTGATACAAGCCAGTTCTGCTGATCTGACTGGAGGGTGGGTTGGGGTGGGTGCACTGCACTCCATTCCTGCCCCCATCAGGCCTGGCTGAGGCCCTTTTACCACCTTGGTCATTCCCTGACCCCCTGGATAAAGGCAGTAGAAGGACACCCTCAGCTGATGCAGGGGCAGCACCTTCTGTCCTGGCCCCTCTCTCTGGTGCAGGCTAGGCAGGACCAGACTCAGGCTGGGTCCTGGGGAAGCTTGGGATCCACAGGAGGGAAGACACCATGGGAAGAGGCGCATGTCCTGCCGGCTCCCTGCTCCCTGCCGGCTCCCTGCCCGCCCCGCCCATGCTGCCATTGCAGCTCAGCTCCAGGCTCCAGGGCCTGCTGAGGCATGCTGCCCCCCCAGGCCCGGCGCCTCACTCACCTCCCAGGGCCAGGAACCTGTTCTCCCGGGAATGCCAGGGAGTTCTCAGAGGACTTTATTTCCCAGGGGCTCGGTGAGCCCCAGAATCCTCTCAGCTCCACTCCTGGGGAGGGGAAAGAAAAATTGGGGGGTTTGGGACCCCTCCCTGCTCCCCGTCTTTGTCTCCTCCATACACTGACCCCACATTGCCCCCAACCACCAGCTTTCATCATTCAGAGAAGAGAGAAGGCTTCCGAAAGTTGAAGACAAGGGAGAAAGCCCACTGGTGGCATGTGTCTTCTAGGAAGCCACCATACATCCCCTGCTTGGCCTCAGGGAGAGCTTCCTTTTAGGCCCCATGGAGCTTCCCCCCTGGCTTCCAAGAAAGCAACACAGCACCACTTCCTGTGGGCTCTCCATCCTTCCTAGCCTGGAAGTTCTTCCTGATGTCTAACCTCCCTCCTTCTAGCTTGAGTCCTCATGAACCAGCAGAGCCCCCATTGCCTTTATAGGGCTCAAGCACAAAGCCAGAGACTTATTAAGTCACACTGAAATTTTCTGGGAGCTTGTGTACAGGAAGAGACGGAGAGAAGACCCCGTGCCCACCACCCCTCTGCTGGGCCCCACAGCTCCATACTCTAATGGGGAGGGGCGACTGGGAGACACTTCTGCACACCTCCCCTTATTCCCCCATAACAGAGGGATGCAGGGGGCAGAGGTCCCACCAGTATGCCCTCCCTTCTTTCCTTCCCACTCACAGTTGGGGAGACTGACATTAGACTTCAGAGAGACATTTCAGCATTTTAAATTGAGTTTGGCTGGACTATGTCACCACAGGAGGTGGTTTCCTGAGTGGAGAGGCAACCATTGATCGGGATGGGTGTGGTTGGGCTGGCAACATGCCCAGGAGAAGGGGAATGACAAGGTGACCTCTGGGAGAGTGCATCCTAGAAGCACAAAGTTCCCAGAATAATTCCGGTCTTTCCAATTTCTCCATCCCCAGCCTCTGCCTCATCCTCTATCTCTGTGCCCATCACCAACCTCAGCCCACCCCATCCCTAACTGCCCACCCAGGCCCTGTCTCCTTCCATAGTCCAACCCTATCCCTATCCCAAGTTCACCTCCATCTCCACCACTCCATCTGTCTCTCCCCTCTCAGCCTCACCTCCATCCTCATCCTCAACCCCACTTCCCATTGCACACTACCCCTGCCTCCCCAGGATGATCTCTCCAGGCGTCAGAGAGCCCCCTAGAGTTTAACACCTGCATCTTTGTCCCTGCCAGTGCGTGTCCCTGGTGGGTCCTCCATGTTCTCCCTGTTCTCAGGAAAAGCCCCAGAGCCATGCCACTAGGACAAAATGGATTGGATGGGAGAAGCCCTCAGCTTCCTGATCCCCTTCAACCATTTGCCCTTCCCAGGGTGCTCTCCATGGGGGTGGTCAAGAGTGCTCACATGTAGCTGGTGAGCCCATCTCTGCCTGCCCACCTTTGTGGGGGCACGGGATGGTTCAGGATCTCACCATCCCGTCGACCAGGGACAGTGAATGCTGAAAGGTGGCTAGATGCTGGACAGTTAAAATGAGTTCAAGTGCAACAGGATAAGTTGAGGTCTGACGTCCAAATAGACCTCTCCACACTGCAGTGGAGGCAGGGGGAGTGGGAGATGGAGAGACATGCTCAGAGGCCCCAAAGGGAGGCAGTGGCCACCTTTCTCAGGGGCTGGGAGTGTAACCAATCCAATCAGGCACGGCCAGGCCTAAAGCAGGTTGCAGGACAGAAGCTGAAGCAAGAAGGCCTGCTGGGCTGTTGAGGAATGATTGCCATCATGAGCATCCTTGGGTCTCTACCCCGCCTGTGGCTCTTGCTTAGTCAGCGCAGATTAATGGGGCTGGGGAGAGAATTAGCTGAATCGTGATCTCTCAGGCAACTTGACTCGAGAGCCAGCTGTGAGTCACAGTGAAAAGGGATTCCATGCTGTCATGGCTACTCTGCTCTGAAATCTCTAGGGGTGGGCACTCCTCAAAACCCCCCAGGATGCAACAGAGCCCCCGGGAGGTCTGACCCTAACTCTCCACCTTCTGCTCATGAGACGATGCCTGATCATGAACTTCAAACCCTGCCTCCCCTGCCTGAAACTACTGCTTCTGACAAACTACAGCCAGCTTGGGCACCAACACACACACACACACACACACACACACACACACACACACACCCCTGAAATGGGGCATGTTCCAGGCACCAACACACACACACACACACACACACACACACACACACACACACACCACACACACACACACACACACACACACCCCTGAAATGGGGCGTGTTCCAGGAACCGGATTGCCCGGAGACAGTTGGAGATTCCACCTACACTTGTAAATTCCACAGCCATGTCTCTGACTCCAGCAGCCCATCAGTCTTGGAAGGCCTAGGATGTGCTGGAAGACACACACAGATCACTGTGACCAGAAAACCCAGTTACCAGACTCCCCACTTAGCAGAGCCAGAGTGACCACAGCAGCCAGAGATGTCCCCACGGGGCTCACGTTGGGTCCCTGCGACATGTGGCTTTGGAGAGGAGGCTTGGCCTCTCTGAGCCTTCTCACAAGCATGTCCAATCTGCCTGCAGTGGGAAGGGTTTTGGATAGAAAGTTCTTTGGAATGGCATGCTAAGCCCAGGAGGATCTGGGGATAATTAAGAGAGAAAGGTGGGGGCTGGAGCCCAGGAGTTGGATGGACTTAGGGCGACACCCCAGAACCTGCCACTACTCCACATCCTTTGCTCACCAATGAAGCTGACTTCACCCAGCCCAGGCGCTGGGAGGATGGGCTGATGCCCAGGTACCTGCATAACAGGGAACAATCCCTTCCAAAGGCAGGACCTCAGTTCCCCCATCTGTCAAATAGGGAGGTGACTGGGTGGGAAGGTCTTCCAGTGTTCTTCTCACTCCAAAGTTCGGTGAGTTCAAGCGGTTAACTTACAGCCTGCCTTGTGTTGTGCACGTGTGCGCTGTGGCTGGCATCAGGGGACCGGCTGCACCAGTATGTATTTGTCTTGTACTAGATCTGTATTATTAGTAGTGGTGGCAGAATTAATATCCCTAATGATAGATTGATTCTAATAAGCAGGCCTCCTGATAATGATATGTACAGAGTGTAAGAGGCCCCTGGCCCACGAGATGATAGGATCCTGAGCCACATCTACACTAAGATGGGCAGGCAGATGGACCCACCAGCTGAATGTGAGCACTCTTGACCACCCCCATGGAGAGCACCCTAGGAAGGGCAAACAGTTGAAGATGAAAAGATCTCAGCCCCCATCCCTCTCCTGAAATCCCATGGGCTCCGGCCCCCAGAGGAGGGAGCCA